ACAGCGCGTCCAGCACGAATTTGTGATCTGTGCATGAGCAAGGGCCTATATAAGGAGCACACCCCCTTTGACGGGGCTTGCTCTTTTTCCTCATCTTCCCCACCTCCTCACTGCCTCGCGCCTTCCCGGATCCCAGCTTTAACAAAATGTGTCATGATTGACAACTTCAGACAGAATCAGCAGAGAACCATCAGACTCAGAGCGCTAACAGCGAACTTTCTCTCTCTCTCTCTCTTTTTCTTCTTCCTTTCCTTATCCCTCTTCCTTTCCCCTTTTGCCTTCCCTCTGCCTCCCTTTTTATCTTCCCTCCACGTTTTGTTCGGAAAATAAAGTAAAAGGTTATAAGACATCTGACCGCTTTCAGCATCTTAATCTTATCCTTGGGACTATAACGAAACCTTCCCGATATTGGATCGGGACAGGGTCTTCACTGAAACAGTTCAACAATTGCACTTTTCAGCACCCCACAAAGGACTTTCACCAAGACACTTTAGAAAAGTTAAAAAGATAAAATGATTTATTGAAGCAACAGGTGTAACAGATTTGGAATTGCCATTGATAAATGCAGTAGCTGCAATAGAACTAATATGTTAAAATAATGCTAGCAAAGCAAATGAATAAACTAAGAAATGAGTAAATGCTACCCCGGGAGTTCTTCACCAAGAGGTGAAGGCACAATGCTTTCCAAGAAGGTGTCCCTGTCTTGGTAGAGGAATCAATATCCAGATACCCTCCATATTGCCCTTTATATCCTAACCTTATCTGATGCCCTTCCTGGGGTGACATTTTAGCATGATCTGGGTGGAGAGTCTGGTGCTAGAGTCCCATATGTTTAGCATGTTCTTCTTTTTGCATGTTCTTCTTTTTTTGTTCTTCTTTTTGTCATTATCATACTTAGAGGTGTCTGTCAACTTTAATATTCATTTTGCGGATAATTAAGCAAAAGGTCTCAGCCCAGGCACTGTGGCCCTTCAAGATTCTGTGCTGAAGCCAACTGCTTCTGTGCTGAAGCCAACTGCAAGTTCAAGCCAAAACAGAGCTGTCCTGCCATTACAAGACTCCCTCCTTCCCTTCTTTTGCAGCAAAAGTGAGAAAACTCTTGGGTTGATGTTGTTGTAGAGACGGACATGACACTGAATATCAAGTTGCAGCAATCGTATGTTTCATTTTACAAGCAGTGCTCTTTTATATCCTTTTACCTGGATGCTTATCTGTGCATATAATCTACCATTCTACTTTTGCCCAATCCGCTCTCACATCACACACCATCCAGCCAATGCAATTGTTGATCACGTGCTGTTCATGCTCTGGTCAAAGCCAGGACGTTTGCCAACCCTTATCTTGTTTGCTCATATCTTCTCAGGATTCTCCAGTCTCTTCGAGGGTACACAGGTATCTGCTCAGGGTCAATGTTAAGCTTGTATTCTGATCCTTTGGACCAGCCGAGGTCTCCCACAGCTTGACATAAAAATACTTCCAATAGGTGAAGGAAAGAGGAAAACACCTCCAGTTATACTCATCACCTCCCACAATAAGAATGGTGTCCAGCCAGTCTGAGCAACAGCCAGCCTGGAAGACAACACACACCCCCTTCCCTTCAACTGCTCCTTCCTCTACCCAATTTTTTATTGCTGAGCATAACACCACATGGTATGCAATTTCAGTTTGGGTCAGCTGTCATGGCTGTGTCTCCTTCCAATTTCTTGCCTACCCCTAGCCTACTTGCTGGGTATGCAGAGCGTGAAAAAGAGAAAGACTGAACACTGCAAGCACTGCTCAGCAGCAGACAAAACATTGGTGTGTTATCAACAATGTTTAAGTCACACATCCAAAGCATAGCACCCTGACTCCTAGGAAGAAGACTAACTTAATCCCAGCCAGACTCAGTACACTCCCTTCCCTTGTCAACAACGGAAGCCTGAGATACAAAGCTTGAGAAACAGAGGGGTCAAGGATGCCCTGATGACAGTTCTTAGAACAGGTGAATCATGTACCTGCTTATAAGGGGATGAATGGATTGAGAGCAGCATTGCAGAGAAGGACTTGGGGATACTGGTGGGAGAAAAATTGGATACAAGCTGGCAATGTGCACTTGCAGCCCAGAAAGCCAATCACATGTATAGCTGCCTAAAAAGAAGCATGGCCAGCAAGTCAAGGAAGCTGATTCTGCCCTTCTACTCTGCTCTCATGAGACCCCGCCTGTAACACTGCACTCGGTTCTGGAGTCCGCAATACGAGAAAGATATGGACCTGTTAGAACAGGTCCATAGGAGGGCCATGAAAATAGTCGGAGGATTGGAACACCTCTACTATGAAGAAAAGCTGAGGTTGTTCAGTCTGGAGAAGAGAAGGCTCTAGAAAGATGTTGTTGCAGCCCTTCAATACTTATAAGCCCCTCTAAGAAAGATGGGGCAATGGTTATAAACTGAAAGATGGTAGATTTAGATTGGACATAAGGAAGAAAATTTTTATGACGGCAGTGAGACATTAGAACAGACTGACCAGAGATGATGTGGATGTCCCAAACCCATAAGTCTTCACAGGTGGGCTGGATGGGGCTTCGAGCAACCTCATTAGTGAAAGATTTGGAGAAAGTCTGTTACATTATTCACAGTGAATTCCATGCACTTAAAGGACAATGTTCATGGGCATCCTATCTCAGGTTGAGTCACTGTAGGCTGCCATTTGTACCAGTGACAAAAGAGAACTGCTTCAGAAGGGTGGTCAGACTTGAGACAGACTGTACTCCATCTATAAAGGCAGCTTTTGGCATGAGCATTCAAATTCACTCATGTCTCTCAACTACGAAATTTAAGCAAGGTGACATAAAGACAAACATGTCCTGGGCACATGAAAAGGAAGGGTGGCTGGAGCCTTTGGAAATGAAGGTATTCAAATGGAAGGTGAAGTGTGTGATGTCGCTGCCTTTATGGTGGTACCATGCATGTGTAGATGACTTGCAAATCTGCTTAGCACAGGAGAGGTGAGCTATATCACTTCAAAACCTAGAACAATGGGACTGTTAGCCCTTTTTTAATCAGGCTCCCCACATCTGTTCAAAAAGCAGTATTCAGTTAATGTTCCTCTTTACATACATCACATCACACTCATACATGTCATCATACACTTTCCTGGTTTTCTCCTTCAATTATGCACTTGTAAGGCACAAGTAGTTGTCTAATATGTTCTCGATGTGTTAAGATACATTCAAACTTCATTTCACCATCAGTAGCTGACGATGGAACTTGTCACACAGCCTAAGGCCTGTACAATACAGATGTCCTGTAGTCATCGTTTATACTCAGTGAAAAGGAACACACACTTCTAAGGCATGGTTTCACCATGTCTAAAACAGGTTACCCAGATCATGTTCTAGCAGTTCTTATTCCTCTTTGCTCAGGACAGTGTAGAAAAGTATATGAGATACAGGCAGCTGGGGAGAAGTTCAGTTGTCTGAACATAAGGGCCTTTTTAGACACTTATGGTGCAACAGTCATCTGCGTGAGAGGCATAATACAGGGCCTATGGGAGACCTTCATTGTAATGAAACAGAGCCACAAGCCAGGTGGGATATCACAGGGTGTCACCACCTTTGTTTCGTCCAATGGTGTTTCTTATATTGAAGCAAGTCCTGAGCACAGGAGAATGTAAAAACTGCATGACAGCAAGTATATTCTTTTTTTTCTACTGAAAAAGTTTTTTCTACGATCACCAGATTTTCTATTAAAGAACACATCTATTTGTAAACTTCATCGTTCCCAAAATCCATAACTGGCTCATTCTTAGAGAACCCAATCCAGCAAAATATCAAGTACATAGCATACCATATAAATTCATAGGAAGTTTCCAAAACCAGTGATGGCATCACTAGGCCAGAAAACCTGGCTGCAGAGAGCCCGGCTCAGGAAACGTAGCATTTATTCCATCTGTTCTTTTCTTCTCTCAGAGAGCTAGCTTCTGTTGTGTTTCTTCATTTACTCATGACCTGATCCACCTTTGGAAAGAAGTAGAAAGAACTGTTAAATGTCCCCCAAATATTGACTACTGCCTGACACCTGAGAGCACTGCACAACTAGAGGCAAATACCGTTCCAACTTCACAGCATCACACTCCTGAGCCTACCAGACCCCAGTCTTGCTGTCACCCCCATTCCCCAGCTGCTGCTCTCATAGCCCAGAAGTATCATGTGGAAGGCAGTGGGGATCAAAAAGCCTGGTCTGGTCTAAACCTTTCCGCTTCCATGAAGGCCCTTGACCAAGGCAATTTTATCAGCCAGAAGAAACAAGTGGGGTGCCCATCTTAGCTGCCTCCTCAGCTACAGAGCACAATGTGAGACCTGTGTTGTTCAGAAAAGCACCTCACTAGACCTAGGAATGATCCAGCTCTCTACAGATTGTGGTCTCTGCAGGGTCTCCTACAGCATAAGGGCCTGCTTTATAAAACACTCCTTCCACTGAAAGGAGACAGAATCCACCAAAAACTGCAACATGAGGATCTCCAAGGGTTTAAGAGATAAAGTCCTAGCTCCTTAGAGGCTGCAAAGGAATAGCTATATAATTCTAACCCCAGATCTTATACTATGAGAAAACAAAGCAGTAATTCTAACCAGTTCGACTCCTATGACATCAACAACCTTAAGGAAGGGACTGATATCTGACTGGTAATTTTAGAAATGGGATATGATTCTCCAGAGAGGGTAGTAACAAGGCCTGAAGCAGATATCTGTCATTGCTTTTGTCCAGCTATCAGAAAAGTTAATTGGGAATCAAGTGACAATTCATTTTCTTCATAAGGTACATCTGGCACTTAGCCAGACCGTATGACTCAGGGCTAGGAAAGGAGATGCCTGCAGGGACCACAGGATAACCAGGGACCCAGTGCTGCTAACAAACCTTGTTTGCAGCCCTCTCTGAAAGAAGCAGTACCACAGTCCCAGTGACACACCCCATTGACTACTGCCCACCGGGCAGCCGGAAAATGCCCCATGGACCCCTGTGTCCTCACCGCAGTGTCTGCAGCTGCCAATCAGGATGTTTCAGCTTCTCACACAGCAGCTGTACTCCAGAGTCTCCCAGCTTGTTAAAACTAAGGTCCAGGTCTCTCATGCTCAGATTGGTGCCGAGTACTGTGGCCAGGTACCCACAGCAGGCATTGGTGAGTATGCAGCCTAGCAGCCTGCAGAAGACAAATTGAAAAGAGGTGTGAGTCACAGCTGTGGCGACCAGTGCACTCTCTCACAAGGCCCATTACTGTAAACCTACCCTACTCCACACCCCATCCATACTGACTACATGCCAACCACTTTCTCAATGGAGGGACTAGCACTGGAACCACTACCCATTCTCAGTTCAGCCTGTAGTCAACCCTCAGAGAGCCCCTTCTCAGAGATGCATAGTGGAAGGATGAGAGTCAATGGGCAAAAGCTGGTTAACACAGGAAACTCTAATTAGATTTCAGAAAACTTTCTTAACCAGAAGTGTGTTCACCAAGGGTCCAGAGAGGGTGCAACCTACATCATGTTAGGAATCTGAGTATAGGCAATACCCTTCTTGTTGACAGCCATTCTAGGTTGGAAAACAGGTTTGTAGAGACACTGCTATAGTCCTTCGAACCCTCCGTGCATTCATGATACAAACACAAGGATGCACTCCTTCAACAGAAGACATGGTAACAGGAACTCTGTTTTTGCCAGTCTAATCCTTACTGCAGGACCTGCTCATTCCTGGCAACATTTCAGATCTCTAGACAAAAACCTCCACTAGCTTCTGTCCTGCATCCTTCCACTGCCCAGCTTCTGTCCTGGCTCAGGTGGGAGAGCTCACAAGCCTATGTTAATTGCCCAGTTCACCCATCTGTGTGTGTTTCAGGATCCCCTTCCTCCTGCATTACCTCCACAGGTCCTTACATAACTCCTTCAAATTTCCACAGTATCGCTCCTGAATTCCACAACAGAAGTGGGGACCAAAAGCTTAGCAGCAATTTCCTCTGCTTGATGACCTTGAAAAAGTGATATACTACTTCCCCTGATTCATGAGTTTTACCCATTGGAAAATGCCCCTTTCTGCTTTAAATCTTCCCCACTCTCTTCTCTAGTATAAGTTTTGCCTACCTTTGCCCCTCAGCATCAGCAGATGGGCATCAGGGCACCCTGCAGGTCACCTCAGCTGGCACAGGCTGTCCCTGTGCAGTATCTAAGTCAAGCACCTCCAGGGAGCCCTATGGCTGTTGTCATTCCTCTTTCAGAGAATCTCAATAAGAAGCTTCCCAAACACTTTCAGTGCTGAGGCTCCTTCCTCTCAAACCCTGCCTCAGTCCATGCAGAACTTGTCCATTCTGAGGAGTGCTGGAAATCACTTGAGAAGAAAAAGGCGTGCTTTGTGGTTTTTCACACTGTGATTTCTGGGTGGAACCTCAATGCTACTACTCCCACTTCAGTCACATTTGGCTGAATCTCATTGTCATAACAAAGGGATCCAGTCTCGTTTAAGACAAAGGGGACATTTAGATAGCAATCTGGAGCTTGCAGACTAAACACAGGGCCCACACAGGTTACTTGAAGGGTATGTGAGAAAACCAAAACCCTAAAAAGGGACCCCACCCTGCAGCTGCATCTCACTGGTAGCCTGTCACCATCCCTGCACGCAGGCAGGAGCTGCCCTGCCCCAGCCACAAGCTACACTGAGGGTTGCCCATAGGGCAGCTGGGAAAAGCCCCAAGGCACCCCGTGTCCCTCACCGCAGTGTCTGCAGCTGACAGGAAGGATGTTTCAGCCCTTCACACAGCAGCTGCAGTCCAAGGTCTCCCAGGCTGTTAAAAGAAAGGTCCAGCTCCCTCAGCCTCTGGCTGGTGCTGAGCACTGCCGCCAAGTCCCTACAGACGGTGCTGGTGAGTTGACAGTGACACAACCTGCAGAGGACAAAAATGGAGACGATCCACCCAGTTGTCACAGCCACACACACAGATACTCCTGCCCACCAGCTCCTCAATGGGCCAACCACCACAAGCCATGGCCATAAACCCTGCCCACACTCGCCACACACCCACCCCACACCCACCCCATGGCCAATGATGGGCCAGCACCGCAGCCACTGCCTGCTCCCAGCCCAGCCCATGGGCCCCCCTCAGCCAGTGCCCTCCCAGGAAGCTCTGAAGGGCCCCTTCACACCACAACTCTGCCCCAGCCGCATAGGACCCACCCAGGGGAGGGCTCACCACAGCTCCACCCACCAGTCCCAGCCAGCCATGGCACCACATAGCCGACCCAGTCCCACACACTGAGGACTGGGCCAATTGCAGCAGCAGACACTGACAGCTCAGGGCCATGGCCCTTTCCTTTCAGGCAACAGGAAGTTTTGTCCCCTGAAGGTGAGCCAAAGGGAAAGCACCAGAAAGATCCAGAGTGTAAACGTCACACCCTCCACACTTCTGCCCTGTACATCTAGGCTTACGACACAACACTATTTACAAAGGTGAATACAGCCTTTCAGTCCACCAACCTTGTTGATTAATTCCCACCAGTTCCTGTCCCTGACCTTCTTCCCCACTTGACTGCGTACCTCCAGAGGCTAGAGACAGCAAGCGGGAATCTGTGAACTCCAGACACAGTCATATCAGCATGCACACAAGTGCTCCCACTGCCCCATGAGGGTGTGCACAGCTGGATTTCACTGTCTGCCTAGAGGGCCCCAGTACCATGGGACATACCCCATAGGACTCGACCATCCACCTGGGGTGCACTGTGATGAGACAGCATCTATGCAAGACCCCAACATTGGGAATGGCAGCTCTGACAGCCATGTGAGTAAAAGGGAAAGACTGGAATGGCAGCTGAGTGACTCCGGGACATGTGTCGACACGTGGCATTGCAACCAGCTCCAGTTCAGTAACACTGGAAAGGGATCCATGGCCACTCTGTGCTAATGCAGACATTAGCACGCTGGGACATCAGGACTGACTCTCCAGTTCAGTGGCCCTGGAAAGGTCAAAAGGATAGCCCTGCCTTTCCGCTGGTTGCCCACAAGCCTCTCTACTGCAGTAGAAGAAGGAAGCGTGCCCGGAGAGACACGCATCCTCCTGGGGTACTACAGAGACCAGGGCTGGGGCAGAAGGCCCCTGAGCAAAACATCTGTCACAGCTATTACTGCTGTTTCAGTCCACCAACCTTGTTGATTAATTCCCACCAGTTCCTGTCCCTGACCTTCTTCCCCACTTGACTGCGTACCTCCAGAGGCTAGAGACAGCAAGCGGGAATTTCTGTGAACTCTGTTTTCTCCCCAGACACAGTCATATCAGCATGCACACAAGTGCTCCCACTGCCCCATGAGGGTGTGCACAGCTGGATTTCACTGTCTGCCTAGAGGGCCCCAGTACCATGGGACATACCCCATAGGACTCAACCATCCACCTGGGGTGCACTGTGATGAGACAGCATCTATGCAAGACCCCAACATTGGGAATGGCAGCTCTGACAGCCATGTGAGTAAAAGGGAAAGACTGGAATGGCAGCTGAGTGACTCCGGGACATGTGTCGACACGTGGCATGGGCACAGCGTGCAAAGGCAGACACTGTGCATGCGGGAGACCAGGACTGACTCTCCAGTTCAGTGCCCCTGGAAAGGTCAAAAGGATAGCCCTGCCTTTCCGCTGGTTGCCCACAAACCTCTCTACTGCAGTGGAAGAAGGAAGCGTGCCCGGAGAGACACGCATCCTCCTGGGGTACTACAGAGACCAAGGCTGGGGCAGATGGCCCCTGAGCAAAAAATCTGTCACTGCTATTACTGCCGTCCGGGCAGGGCAGGCAACAAGCACAGGATGAACAGGGACCCCACCCTGCAGCTGCACATCACTGGTAGCCTGTCACCATCCCTGCACACAGGCAGGAGCTGCCCTGCCCCAGCCACAAGCTACACTGAGTGTTGCCCGTAGGGCAGCTGGGAAAAGCCCCAAGGCACCCCGTGTCCCTCACCGCAGTGTCTGCAGCTGACAGGAAGGATGTTTCAGCCCCTCACACAGCAGCTGCAGTCCAAAGTCTCCCAGCTCATTTTCACCAAGGTCCAGCTCCCTCAGGCTCTGGCTGACACTGAGCACTGCCGCCAGGTCCCCACAGACGGTGCTGGTGAGTTGACAATGCCACAACCTGCAGATAACAAAAATGGAGACAATCGACCCATTTGTCACAGCCACCACGACAGATGGTCTTGCGCACCAGCCCAATCACCAAGTCGATGATCATATACCATGGCTGCAAAGCCTGCCCACACTCAGCACACACCCACCCCAGCTTGTGGTGACCCACTTCTGACACCTGGTCACAGCCCACCATGTCAATTTAGGCCCTTTGGTATTTGCTCAAGACCTTCCAGGTACTGCTGGCAGCTTTTCAGAACAGGCCTTCTTTGCTTATGCTTTGAGATCTTATACATGTTTTGTTCCGCCATGAGCAAGAAAATCTTCCCTTGGGAGGGCCTTTCCTAGTGCAACGTCTCTTTTTATCTTTGCTCTGATCTAGGGAAAAGCAGCACTCCCCACTTCAATTTACAGCAAGCTGCCCCTCATGTGTTTATAGAGTGGACAGGGAAATAACCCTACAGATGGCTTAACGATGAAGCCATGAAAAAGGCGCTTTCTCATTTCAACACCAAACCAAAACATTATGTAAATTACCTGAAAATCAAAAGAAACGTTTATGAGTGGGGCTCCGAAGTATAGAATTGCAGGGAGGAGAGCACAGGAGAACAGCACAGTCCCAGCTAGGAGAAAGACTGGGAGCCCACTTCTAGTGCACTCTCTGGCATAAGGATGCTGATGAGTCAGAGATGAGAACCAAGTACAAGAGAGTGAGGAGAAGGGGCTAGAGTTTAAGCGGGGGAAAAGCTCAAGAAGCAGTAAGGTAAGCTCTTGCTTAACTAAGTCTGAAAAGTAGAAGAGAGAGAGCAAATACCCTGAGCACTGAGGGAACACTGATAGCACTTGGAAGAAAGAGACATCCTCAGTAACAGTGTCTGATGGAAAGACAATGTGACCATGAAACATGCCATAATTCCACCCAAGAGGACAAGCTAGGCCATAAGTAGCTAGAAAGCAGATTAGCTTGGCAAAAGATGACCTAGGGTCTGGTTAACCACCCTTCTGCAAATGTGAAAAACAGCAGGCATTTTGGAAAACAGGTCTGGGGAGACCTTCATACAATTCTTCAGACCCTCCCTACATTCACAATTTAAACTCAAGGAGGCAGGATTTTTACAGAAAAAAACAAAATCAATTACTACTACTCAGTCAATCTAATCTTTGCTGCTCATTCCTGGCAACATTTCAAAGTCTTCAAGCAAAGGCTGATGTAAAGATCCCTGCTAGTCTATGCGCTGCATTGTTCTGCTGTCTAGCTGCTCTCCACATGCACAGGTAGGAGAGCAGGCAAGACCATTTCAATGTAATCTAACTGCACGTTTCATGATCCATTTCCTCCTGCATGGCTCCGCACATTCTTGTGCAACCCTCCCAGCTCCCACAGTATCGCTCCTATGCTCTGGCATAACAGTGGGGACCACAAGCTTAGTACCACTTTGATCTGCACAGTGACCTTGGAAAAGTAGATACTACTCCCTCCCTTTCACAAGTTCTGCCCAGCTCCTCCCTCTGATGAGTGCCATTTCCAAATCCAAAGTTCCTCCGTTAGCCACCCAGGGCTTAAGAGACGAAAAACGGTGAACAGATCTGGATGCCCAGAAGACTCTGAGGGTAAAGGGACTGACTGTGTTATATAAGAAAAAGTTCCTATGTAAAGATGGCTTCAAAGACATGCACAATAGAACTTGACTGACAGTGACCTCACCTATACAAGTGGGTTTGCTGGTAGAAAAAAACAAATCAGACCAGCTGAAAGCAGCAAAGATGCAAAAAAATAATGCAAACTCAGCTAATAACTAAGCATTAAGCCTATGTGCACACAGGGTTCATGTACAAATACTCAAAAATGAAAAGCAACAGATGATACTGTGGCCAAAGCCAGTAAGTTATGTAAAAAGTAAACATGAATATGTAAATAGTTAAGATTGCATATAAGGAATGACGAGTTCTAACATGATGTCCTCCTCATGCTTCACGCAAAGAGGTACTTTGATTGCTGGAAATAAAAAGGAGTTTTAGCTACTGCATATTTCTGCTGCCTTCTTTCCAGTTCCCACGGACTAACTAGAAGAAAAATGCAACCAGCTCCAGTTCAGTAACACTGGAAAGGGATCCATGGCCACTCTGTGCTAATGCAGACATTAGCACGCTGGGACATCAGGACTGACTCTCCAGTTCAGTGGCCCTGGAAAGGTCAAAAGGATAGCCCTGCCTTTCCGCTGGTTGCCCACAAGCCTCTCTACTGCAGTAGAAGAAGGAAGCGTGCCCGGAGAGACACGCATCCTCCTGGGGTACTACAGAGACCAAGGCTGGGGCAGATGGCCCCTGAGCAAAAAATCTGTCACTGCTATTACTGCCGTCCGGGCAGGGCAGGCAACAAGCACAGGATGAACAGGGACCCCACCCTGCAGCTGCACATCACTGGTAGCCTGTCACCATCCCTGCACGCAGGCAGGAGCTGCCCTGCCCCAGCCACAAGCTACACTGAGGGTTGCCCATAGGGCAGCTGGGAAAAGCCCCAAGGCACCCCGTGTCCCTCACCGCAGTGTCTGCAGCTGACAGGAAGGATGTTTCAGCCCTTCACACAGCAGCTGCAGTCCAAGGTCTCCCAGGCTGTTAAAAGAAAGGTCCAGCTCCCTCAGCCTCTGGCTGGTGCTGAGCACTGCCGCCAAGTCCCTACAGACGGTGCTGGTGAGTTGACAGTGACACAACCTGCAGAGGACAAAAATGGAGACAATCCACCCAGTTGTCACAGCCACACACACAGATACTCCTGCCCACCAGCTCCTCAATGGGCCAACCACCACAAGCCATGGCCATAAACCCTGCCCACACTCGCCACACACCCACCCCACACCCACCCCATGGCCAATGATGGGCCAGCACCGCAGCCACTGCCTGCTCCCAGCCCAGCCCATGGGCCCCCCTCAGCCAGTGCCCTCCCAGGAAGCTCTGAAGGGCCCCTTCACACCACAACTCTGCCCCAGCCGCATAGGACCCACCCAGGGGAGGGCTCACCACAGCTCCACCCACCAGTCCCAGCCAGCCATGGCACCACATAGCCAACCCAGTCCCACACACTGAGGACTGGGCCAATTGCAGCAGCAGTGATGAAGCAAGGCTCATCTGGCCCTCTGACCATTATCTTCTACTGTTTTTCCCTGTGGGCACCAATTGTACAGACAGCAGTCAACTCCAAAGTATCAAACATGAGTCTGGAGACAACAGGCAGGGGCATGGGGGTCCAGGTGATCTTCTCCTTGATCCTTTAGTCAGAGGGAAGGATTGAGGTGTGGAAGAATCCCATGGGTCAGCAATGGGTTGCACAGCAGGTGTTGACAACAGTGTTTTGGGTTTTATAATCATGGTATCATCTTTGACGACTGGTAAGTATTTTAAAATAGATGGGATCCAGTTGCTTAAGTGGGGCAAACACATTCTTGCCAACACACTGCCCAAGGAGAGCTTTAAACTAGGAACAACCAGGAATGGAGAGGATGATCAAAACCCAAGTAAGGAATTGCTGGACAAGGTTGGCAAGCAAAGTGGGATGAAGTAAACTCAGAGATCTTCTAATCAAGAAAACAGGGCTGATGGGTGCCCACCTCAAGTGTATCTACATACATAAGGAACTGCCTACAAAACAGAACTACGGGGAAAGCTCTCAAATCCTTTCTTGGAAATTATCATGGCTGTGCATATCTCTGAAGTGCATGTACACTAATGCATGACCACAGGGAACAAAAAAAGATAAATTAGATGTGTGCATACAGTAGCAGGTCTAGTATCTCACTGGAGTCAGAGAGGCATGCTGGAATTCCTCACGTGACTGGACTGCTGCAATAGATGGACAGAGGCTTTTCAGGAATAAGACTAGAAGATGAGAAGAGGGACTTGTGCTTTATGTGAGATCAGCAGAGATGCATGGAGTTTTGCATGGAGATGAACAATAAGCCAGCTAAGAGCTTATGGTTAAGGATTAAAGGGCAGACCAAGAGGGGTAAGAGTGTGGTGGGTGACCACCTGATCAGGAATCGGAAGCCCCTGGTCCTCACGAGGAACTTGAACGTACCTGGTATCTGCTGGAAGGACAACACAGCAGGAAAAAAACAAGGTGAGAGGTTCTGGAGTGCATTGACAACTGTCTGATACAAGTGACAGAGCAGCTGACACTCTGCTGGACTTCATGCTTACAAACAAGGAAGAACTGATTAGGCATCAGACTGGGGGCAGACTTGGCTGTAGAGACCATGAGATGATGGAAGTCAGGATCCTGAAAGTTGAGAGACCTGACTGGTTAAAAAATAAATTAAAAAAAAATAATTACAAACAAACAAATAAAAAAGCAAGATCATAACCCTGGACTTCAGAAGAGAAGACTTCGACCTGTTCAGAGATCCACAAGGAAGAATCTTCTCTCTTGGAAAGGAAGAGGATCCAGGAGAGCTGGCTGATATTGAAGGATCACCTTCTCCAAGCTCAAGAATGTTCCATCCTGACAAGGAGGAAAACAAGCAGAAGTGACAGAAGGCTTGCATGGATGAATGGCTTCTGTCAAAACTCAGTCGTAAAAAGGAGGTGGAAGTGACTCAGAAGAAATATAGAGACACTATCCAAGTGTGCAGGGATGGAGTCAGGAAAGCCAAAGGTAACCTGGAGTTAAATCTGGTAAGGGACATGAAGGGCAAGAAGAAAAGTTTCTACAGGTACATCAGCAGCAAAAGGAAGACTAGAGAAAATGTGGACCTACTGCTAAACGGGAACAGGAACCTGGTCACAAAGGACATGCAGAAGACCAAGGTACTGAGTAGCTTCTTCACCTTGGTCTTATCTGATAAGAACAGTCTTCAGCAATCCCAGCTCGCTGAAACCAATGAAAAAGTCCAGGACAAGGGTAGGCTCATTCTCTGTTGAAAGGATGACATTACAGAATATTTAAACAAACTGGATATAAACAAGTCCACGGGGCCTGATGGGATGCATCCATGCATCAGTACAGGTTGGGGGCTGACCTCCTGGAGAGCAGCTCTGTGGAAAGGGACCTGGGAGTCCTGGTGGACAACAGGATGACCATGAGCCAGCAATGTGCCCTGGTGGTCAAGAAGGCCAATGGCAAACTAGGGGGCATCAAGAAGAGTGTGGCCAGTAGGTCAAGGGAGGTCATCCTGCCCCTCTACTCTGCCCTGATGAGGACGCACCTGGAGTACTGCGTCCAGTTCAAGAAAGACAGGCATCTGCTGGAGAGGGTCCAGCAAAGGGCTACAAAGATGATTAGGGGATTAGAACATCTCTCATATGAGGAAAGGCTGAGGGACTTGGGTCTCTTTAGTCTAGAGCAAAGAAGACTGAGGGGGATCTCATTAATGCTCACAAATACTTAAAGGGAAGGTGCCAGGGGGATGGGAACAGTCTTTTTTCAGTGGTGCCCAGTGATAGGACGAGGGGCAACGGGCACAAACTTGAACATAGGAAGTTCCATCTTAATATGAGGAGGAACTTCTTTACTTTGAGGGTAGTGGAGCACTGGAACAGGCTGCCCAGAGAGGTTGTGGAGCCTCCCACTCTGGAGACATTCAAAACCCACCTGGATGCCGTCCTGTGCAACCTGTTGTAGGTGACCCTGCTCTGGCGGGGGGTTGGACTAGATGATCTCCAGAGGTCCCTTCCAACCCTGACCTTTCTGTGATTCTGTGAGGGAGCTAGTCATTGCCACTGCAAGGATTCTCTCAATTATCTTTGAAAGGTCAAGGTTATCAGGCTTTCTTCCTGTGGACAGGAAGTAAGTAAATATCACCATTAACATCAAGAAAGCCAAGAAGTAGGATCCACGGAACTACAGGCTGGTCAGTCTCACCTCCACCTTGGGACAGTGATGAAGAAAATAATCTTGGAAACCATTTCCAAACGTACAAAGGACAAAAAGGTGACAGAGCAGTCAGCACAAATGTAGAAAGGAGAAATCACGTCTGACCAATTTGTAAATGATGAAATGATTGGATGGATGGATGAGGGAAGAGCAGTGGATGTTTTTTTGTTGGGGAAAAGCCCCAAGGAGCCCCCTGTCCCTCACCGCAGTATCTGCAGCTGGCAGGAAGGATGTTTCAGCCCCTCACACAGCAGCTGCACTCCAGGGTCTCCCAGCTCATTTTCTTCCAGATCCAGCTCCTTCAGGCTCTGGCTGGTGCTCAGTATTGTGGCCAGGTCTCCACAGCAGGCACTGGTAAGTTCACACCGCAACACTCTGCAGGGGAGACACATTTGTAAGTGCTGTGGAGCTTATCATAACCCCAATGGCAGATGCAACTGTCCACCAGTGCCTCACTAGGCTGATGAACATAAGCTAGGGCAAACACACCCTTCCCATGCTCACCACACACCCACCACAGGGCCAGTGAGGGACCAGGGCTGCAGCCACTGCCCAATCCAAGGACAGGCCCATGGACTTCCCTCAGTCAATGTACTCCCAGGAGACACCAAAGAGCCCTTTGCCCCACAGCTCTGTTGCAGCCATGCAGGAGCCATCCCTGGGAAGGGATCCACACAGCCATACACCCCATCATTTGCTGCCCACAAAGACGCTCGAGGTGACCCCTGTCCCTCACCGCAGCATCTGCAGCTGGCAGGAAGGATGTTTCAGCCCCTCACACAGCAGCCGCACTCCAAGGTCTTCCAGCGGATTTCCCTGCATGTCCAGCTCCCTCAGGCTCTGGTTGGTGCTAAGCACCACAGCCAGGTCCCCACAGCAGGCGCTATCAAGTTGACACCACTGCAACCTGCAGGGGAGACACATGAAAAGAGCTGCAGGGCTTATGACTGACAGGATGACTGATGTAATGCCGGCCAGCCCCTTACCAGGCCAATGACCATAAGCCACTGTCACAAATCCTACCCAACACTTCCCCAGCAGCAGGGAGCTGAGAAGACACACACCAGGCAGGGACCCCAGTGACCAGGTGCCTGGAAGAACTGAGTGAGGAGCACTGTGGAGCACACAGGCATTGGCTCCACCTGCACAGTGCTTCTTTCTCAGGATGAACAGGGACCCAGTACTGTAGACTCACCTGGCCTCCCCCTCATTCTTGCAGGGAGCAGCCTCCCAGCCCCAGCCTCACTTAGTGCTACCCACAGGCCAGATGGGGAAAAACCCGAGGAACTTCCTGTCCCTCACCACAGTTTCTGCAGCTGACAGGAAGGATGTTTCAGCCCCTCACACAGCAGCCGCAATCGAGGGTCTCGCAGGTCATCAATAAGTTCCAGCTGCCTCAGGCTCTGGTTCATGCGTAGTGCAGCAGCCAGATCCCCATAGCAAGTGCTACTGATTTTGCAATTCAACAACCTGCAATGGAGACACATGGAAATGAGCCAGGAGGCTTATCACAGCGGTAATAACAGACAGACCCACTCACTAGGCCAATACTCATGAACAATGGGCAAAAACACTGCCCCACACTGTCTAGGATACAAGTGCCCATCATCACCCCCCTCTTCAGCTAAGGGACCAAAAGATCTCAGAAACCTCAGAGGGCTGCCTCCTCTGCCTCTCTCCACAGCCCTGGAGAACTGTATTGTTACCCTTTCTCATGGCATACAGAAGAAGAGCTTCACCCAAAGTGGTAGGAAGTCATCTTTACAAGTCAGGACACAGCAAACAGCATGAAAGCCAACAGTGTCTTTGACATGGTCCCTCACAACCAGGAGCAGTCCCACAAAGGCACATATGGCCAAAAACTATGGCAACTGAATGGAGAGCACTTCAGGCAGGACGATGAGGGGTGAGCATCACTTGGCAAATGAAAATGGAGGAGAGGAATCGTGGTTGACAGAGACTGAGGCCCAACACTGCACAGCAGTAGGTCACCCTGGAAATGTGTTCACTGCCAGCAGTGAACTGCCACAATAGTCCTGCCTTGCATCCCTTCACCTGACAGGTATCCCTGGCAAAGAGACTGAAGCAACATTACAAAGCTTCCAACATGCTAAGCAGGGCTTGGCAATACCTGCCAGTTATATATTTCTGATAAGTGTGTTGCATAGAATTGCAGTATGTCTGCCTGTGTGCCCCCCATCCCTAGCTCCCAGGTACTACTGCCCTGATGGAGGTTCACAGTGGCTGCAGGAGAGTCTAGCAAAAAGAGAACCAAAGGGGAAGAGGGGAAGACTGCACTCACTGTGAAATGAGATCTTTCTTCTGGGCTGGCTTTTGAAGTTTCCCACACCAAAGAGCCACAAGAGACTACTCTCTCAGCAGGGACTCTGAGCCTTTCAGTCCACCAACCTTGTTGATTAATTCCCACCAGTTCCTGTCCCTGACCTTCTTCCCCACTTGACTGCGTACCTCCAGAGGCTAGAGACAGCAAGCGGGAATTTCTGTGAACTCCGTTTTCTCCCCAGACACAGTCATATCAGCATGCACACAAGTGCTCCCACTGCCCCATGAGGGTGTGCACAGCTGGATTTCACTGTCTGCCTAGAGGGCCCCAGTACCATGGGACATACCCCATAGGACTCGACCATCCACCTGGGGTGCACTGTGATGAGACAGCATCTATGCAAGACCCCAACATTGGGAATGGCAGCTCTGACAGCCATGTGAGTAAAAGGGAAAGACTGGAATGGCAGCTGAGTGACTCCGGGACATGTGTCGACACGTGGCATGGGCACAGCGTGCAAAGGCAGACACTGTGCATGCGGGAGACCAGGACTGACTCTCCAGTTCAGTGCCCCTGGAAAGGTCAAAAGGATAGCCCTGCCTTTCCGCTGGTTGCCCACAAGCCTCTCTACTGCAGTAGAAGAAGGAAGCGTGCCCGGAGAGACACGCATCCTCCTGGGGTACTACAGAGACCAAGGCTGGGGCAGATGGCCCCTGAGCAAAAAATCTGTCACTGCTATTACTGCCGTCCGGGCAGGGCAGGCAACAAGCACAGGATGAACAGGGACCCCACCCTGCAGCTGCACATCACTGGTAGCCTGTCACCATCCCTGCACGCAGGCAGGAGCTGCCCTGCCCCAGCCACAAGCTACACTGAGTGTTGCCCGTAGGGCAGCTGGGAAAAGCCCCAAGGCACCCCGTGTCCCTCACCGCAGTGTCTGCAGCTGACAGGAAGGATGTTTCAGCCCTTCACACAGCAGCTGCAGTCCAGGGTCACCCAGGTCATTTCCTTCCAGGTTCAGCTCCCTCAGGCTCTGCTTGGTGCTAAGCAACGTGGCCAGGTGCCTACAGACAGCACCAGCATGTTGACATCTCACCAATCTGAAAAAGATCGACAGAGTTGTTACAGCCACCTGGACAGATGCTCTTGCCCACTAGGCCCTCACCAGGCCAACAACCATAAGCCATGGCCATAAACCCCACCGGTGCCCAACCCACAACCAATACCCTCCATGAAGGTACCCCTCAACTCCACAGCTGTGCCCCAGCCAGTGGGCAGCTGCCAGGTGCTGCCTCAGCAGCCTCATTCCTGCCTCCCCCAGCAGGGGCAGCTGAGAAGACACACACCAGGCAGGCAGCCCTGTGATCAGGGTTCCTTGAAGAGCTAGGTGAGGAGCATGGCAAGGGCACAGCCACCTACTCCACCTGCACAGTGCTCCTCTTGGGGCCATAGCCAGGAGCAGCTCCTACTTCAGCCTGCCTCCTGATGGGACCTCTCCCTCAGTATGTCAGTTGGGAGGAGCAAAGCCACCTTTTAAACACAATGGGTTCAGCTCATTGTAAACTGAAGGGGGAAGTGCTGCCTTCCC